TAAGAATGTTTTTATTATAAAGCTGCGAAGGATACATAACTATTTTAATTGTGATTTGCATATACTACTATATATATGATATATATCATGATATATATATATATGTTATATATATATTATATGTATATATATATGATATGTAATAATGTATATACTATGTATCATATATATATATATATGTATATATATAAATATGTTATATATATGTATATGGCTGCTCGCGAGCCTCGTGTATATACTATTATATATATATATGATATATATATATATTATATATATATATATTATATATATATTATATATATAATGAGATGGTGAGCTCAAATTCTTATTGTGAGATGGTCCAATAGGCTACCCGATATGATGACCGACACCAACTATCGTGATTTGCACTCATCAGGATTTATATGTAGAAAAAATTATATTGTTTTGAAATTTATAATCGTTATTTTAGCTATGTATGAAAGGGACGGTGGTTAAACTGTTTGAAAAATCAACATATTAAACGGTAATGTTTCATATTCAAGAAGACTCTAAACTATGTGAAAATTTTATCATATACATTTGATGATATGTTTAACAAGATGTATAGTACAAATATACACTACAATAAACGAGGATTTTCAATGCTATCTTTCCACATCACCACTGCTAACTACTCAATGGTTTAGGTCTGATCAATTATAGTCTATTCAAAATTCATGTGTAGTGAATTTGAATGAACATTACAAATAAAAATAAACAAATTTATGCATCAATGCATACCTGTAGTGTGCAATTAAGTAGCTGTTGGAACTAAAGAAAAAAAGAGGACAAGGAATGTAATATAAGATCAAAAATCAAAAAGTAAATTTATGATGACAAATTTGTTTATGCATGTGTGTGGCATATTTCTTTTAATATAAGGCTTGCTCTTCTCTTTTTTTTGGGTGATCTCTCATAGTAGTAAGAATGCAAAAGACACATTCTGTTCATTATTCGTGTAACTTATTCAAAATATAAATTGTTAAGTTAGGTGTGCAGTAGAAGCATGCATACTAAGTGACACTAAGGTGACCATTTAGAAAATTATATTTTTAGGTTAAAATGGTGTACATGAAAAATTATCATTTTCACATTGTGCAAATGTTAAACTTTTACATTGATATTCGAATTGAACAATATAAATTTAGATCCAGAAAAATTACATATTTTAAGAAAGTGCATGAAAGTCATAAAACTATTTAGTTCGTAAGATATAAGATATAATGTAACACTAACATATTTCCCTTTATTTTTGAGCTTTGTGAGAAATATTTTTTTAGCGCGTAATTTTATGTGAAACATGATTTGCCTCTAATATCACATGCATTTAGATTAGATCTGTTACCAGTCCTAGAGTGATCCTTGATCTGACCTGTACACTAACATTTTTCCCTTTATTTTTGAGCTTTGTGAGAAATTTTTTTTAGCATATAATTTTATGTGAAGCATGATTTGCCTCTAATCTCACATGCAAATAGATTAGATCTGTTACCAGTCCTAGGGCGATCCTTGATTGACATGTACCTTGACCATACTTGCCATAAATAGATATATGCTAGGACGGAAGTCCCCTTTATAAGATCGAGTAAAACCTGAAGCCCAATCATATTCACATCTCTTATCTTGCTTTATTTTAGTCTAGCATTGCTTAGGTTATTAGAACTTCTCTACTTATTCAATGAATAACATAATCAGGTTCTCTCAAATCTCTCTATAATTATCATGGTATCGAGCCTTGTTATTAGCCCTAGAGAAACATATTTCTTCTTCCTCGACCTCGAGCCGCTGAGGGGGTTTTGCCGCAAATACCAAACTCCATGCTTCTCCTCAGCGTTCACTCTACCAGCTGCCAAACCCTAAACCTAACTTCATTTGGGCCACTGCAGTATCCACAACCTCCTGCCCTTGAGCCGTCACCTACCTTCTCCCCTTCCTCCGATGGCATCACCTCCACCCGCAATCTCTAGCCACCTGCAATACCTCCCTCACCCTATGCACTGCCACTCCACAATCAACAACACTACCCCCCGCAGAAGCCTAGCGTACACACAGCAAGCCCAAGCACCACTACAACAAGCCCTAGCCCTTATCCAACTTTGCAACACCCGTAAGTCTTAGCCCTCAATCAACCCTACCATCAACCTCCAATTGATATGCCATCACGATCTCATGTAGCCTCGATCTCGGCGACGAAGCTCCCCTAAACCACACTGTCATTGCCTCGCAGATCACCCACCCACA